CTTCATTTCACACATGCCTGGAACAGGTAAAAGCACTTTTGCAAAGAAGCGTCGTGCAAAACGACTGGATGTCTGTCATCGATGTGCTAGATGGACTTGTAATACACAATGTCGTTCTTTAGGAATGGTATCTATAAACCGTGAAGATAAAATACAATTCATTAAGGATGGCCTGAGTAAGGAGTCTTTAGATAATCTTCTATTGACTCTTGAGACGCATCCTAGTGGAGATGTGCATCGTGCAATTCATGATTTATGGCCACTATTTCATAAAGAACATGATAGACTTAGTCTTGGGAATCTGACTAAAAAAGACCCTGTTTGCCAGTTTTTAAGAAAACTGGATGGGAAGCCTATCCCCGACCCATAGAGGGCGTTTAAGCCGTTCTTGGACGTAAAACCAAGGGAAGATGTGAGCCACAATCACAACTACCTGTACATACACATGCTTGGTTTTATTATTGTGTTTTGTTGTTTCTTATATTTGTTTCAGTGTGTTTCAGGTTTGTCAGTGTTCGTTATTTCAGGTGATATCTTCTATACTCTATCTTTCTACCTTAGAACATTGAGGACAATGTCTCGTTTTGGTTGGGGGGAGAGGGTAGTAGTTGATAAAAAAAAAATTGTTTTTCATTTCATAAAGCATGTGCATAATTGTTGTTACTAGGATGGCAGAGTAAAGGAGTTCTTTTGTTAAAGTGACTCTTGAGACGCATCTTAGTAACCATTCTTAACAAGGTCTATTATAATACTTCCTGAAATATTCAGGTTTACAAACTCTCGTATTGTTACCACTTAATTCTGCTCATATACTTATTTAACATGTATTTTTAAACCTTAATTTACACACACACACTTTAACATATGATTGTGGGTTGCATATTGGATTATTACATTATTTATGTTCTTTTGTTAAAGGTAACAACTAAGGGAAAGGGATTGTATATAATTAAAAAGAAAAAAAAAAAAAAAAAAAAAAAAAAAAAAAAAAAAAAAAAAAAAAAAAAAAAAAAAAAGAAAAAAAGAAAAAAAAATGATGATAATAAAAATGTAGATAAGTTTGGTTTCGTAGCCTCCCTAACCTAAGCAATTAAGCCCGAAGGGGTGTTTTAACACCTAATACCCTAAAGTCAACTGACTTGGGAGCTATTGGCCCAACGCTTGTTACATGGGTTGAGGAGAAAAGCTTAAGGGAATCAAACATTGCACTATCTACATATCAGTATCTGCGACCCGAGTTACTAAGCTCGTAGGGGTGTCTTAACACCTAATGCCCTAAGACCAACTGGTCTGGGAGTCATTAGCTGAAAGCTCATTACATGGGTTAAAGATGCATGATGTTTTTAAAGTATATGTATATAGAGTTAAAAAAAAAAAAAAAGACAAAAATAGTAATCCCAACCCAAGGAAGTTAACCTTAAACATTAGAACAAAAATTTTGTTTTCTTCCAAGAAAAGCCCCATAATTATGTGTTGATACATTGAGCACAAAAGAAAGGTTTATTAATATCTTGTTAAGAGGTATTGAGCAGATATATAAATTTAATGAGAGTTTGTTTATCTGGATAGACTAATGGAAGTTAAATGATGAATACCTTGCTTTGTGAAATTTGCAAATTTGTTTTCTATTTTAACGCTTTGATTACTAGGGACTAGTAATAAGCTGGTTGGGGGGTGTGATTAGTACTTAAAAGTGCATTTTTATCATGGTTTTATATCATCATTTTGCACTTGAAGTATCAATAACTCCTTAACTAAAATATGTTTTATAATAATGTATCTAATAATATAAGATACCTATAATTTATGGTAAATGTCTATTTTTAATGCAGGCCTATCACATAAATGAAAGGATTGATTGATGACTTGAAGAACTTAAATTGCAAGGATAAAGAGATGGCCAAACTTAGAAAAGAGATGTCGGTGCAATCCAAACCGGAACACTGTTCGGTAATTGGGTCATATCTGGAGCTACAGATCTCAGATTTAGGTCCAATTTATATGGATGGAAAGGTAAGACATAGGCCTACAACTTTCATATGGAGCCCAAGATCTAAAAAGGCCATTATCAAGTCCAAATTGTAGCAACAACAAAGAAGCCCGAATCTGTCTTCCAGCCCGAGCACTATTCGGTATTTTGGCCATATCTGGAGTTCTAGAAGTCCAAATGAGCTGAAATTTTTACACAAGAAAGCTGAGACAATTGCCTACAACTTTCATGTTTACAACTGGCTCCAATTTTGACGTTATCAATGACGTTTTGGGCAGACAAGAGAAGATAAGGATTGTCACCAAGTCAAAAGTTGGTCACCCACTTATCAATTAGTCATCAAATCAATAGTTCCCATTTTTGGCCTATAAAAGGAGGCATTTGCCATGCATTTAGGCATCTTGATTTCCAGATCAAGATCATGCTCTTCCTTTCTCTCTTTGTATTTTTTATGCTTTGTTTTCATTAATATTAAGTTTATGCCTTTCATTTCCTTTCCTTTACTTAGTTAACTTTTATGTTCTTATTTTGTTTATCTATTTTGCTTTCTTTCATTATGTCTAGCTAAGTTAATTATGTCAAGGTGAAAAGGTTACACTAATGGTGTAAGAATAAGTATAATGTAAACTTAATATGGACTTTAATGTTTGATACTAACATGTTTTATATTTGCTATCTTGTTCACTCTTTAATACTTTGCTTGTTAAATGACTAATCTTGATTTATGTTGTATAACACTTGGTACAACAAATGCTTGGCACTTTCATAGCCCATAATGTATGGTATAACCGACACCTGAGCTATGAAAGGAACTTGATTTGTTGTTAACATAAGTTATAATCATGAATGCTTGACGAGATTTACAAGTATTAGCATTAATTGAATAAGATGACTAATGTAATCATGTTAACAATATATAATCTGATTGGAACCTCCTTTGTGTGTGGTTTCCAATTCAATAATAAGAGTTTATACTATACTTGTTTGATATACCATTAGTGGAACCTCTAACCTTGACATTTGTTATTATCATTGTTTAATCGTTACATTAATATTCCATCTCAAAGTTCTCATCATCTTCTTCTTCTTCTCTTTCTTTATTATTATTATTATTACTACTACTACTACTACTACTACTACTACTACTACTACTACTACTACTACTACTACTACTACTACTACTACTACTACTACTACTACTACTACTACTACTACTACTACTACTACTACTACTACTACTACTACTACTACTACTACTACTACTACTACTACTACTACTACTACTACTACTACTA